TTTATAATAATTTTATTAAGTTTTTTAATTCTTATTTCCTACGTTCATTTTCGATACTTCTTATTTCGTCCCTTGTTAATAGTGGTGAACATTATTAGGATAATTTTGTGAAAAAAACGTAGATTCGGGGATATTTTGATAATTTTATATCACTTATTATTGAGATTGGGATGGGTTTCAAAAAGAAAGGAAGTCCTTATAACATTTTTTAGCCTTCAGATGTGATTTTGATAGTCTTTATACACATCGCATTCGCCACTCGTACTAGAGATCCATTAGCTTAGCCAGCTTCCTAAAAATTTCCCCTTAAAAACATTGTGCCGTATTTTTTTTTCAAAACTTTTCGATTTTTTTAAAATTTTTCAAAACTCTCAAAACTTGTCTTTTGTTTTTTTTTTAAAAATTCCAATTCATTGTTTTCGGTAGGCATTCCTTTTTCCTCATTTCTTTTGCTACAGTCTTATAATTAACATATTCTTAATAACAAGTTAATCTTACTTGAGTAAAATTGAGACTTCGGGCCCAGTGGTTTTTGTTTTGTAAAATCGAACTAATTTATCATTTTCAAGACAGGGTTGTAGGGATAATAACTTCGGTATTTGTAATTCAGAGCCGAATCAGCCCCGTCAGCATCTATAATTTTACATATTTTAGGTAAAACTTCGGTTTTGGAAATGATTGCTCAAGCTCGAATCTTTCCGCGTGGATCTGGAGAAATGATGACCAGAGCACCTGTCAAAGTGAATTATTTTTATTATTTTTGGAAGGGGAATAATCTTCGAGGGAACCAGAAATGAGGTGAAAAAAGAGGTGGCTCCTCTCTCCATATTTTTTCTGATCGACCGAGACTCTCGGAAGTAGTCCGAATGATAGTATGTGCCAATAGCAACCACCCAAGATGGCTATTTCCTTCAGAAATTACTTAGAAACAGGGTAAAAATCTTGGATATTGGCTTAATCCTACAGAATTGATGTGGTGTAAAGACTCTGGCAGGTAAGTATTGGTTGATTTTAATGAGTTTTAGTTTTCACGTTGGTTTACTGCAGGTAACTTTAAGCGAAGGACCATATCATATTGCCTGTTTCAAAGACAGTACGCGGGAATTCGATCTGACGAAAGAATCCGAGCTGAAGCAGTTGAGAAATGAAATTGAAATCAGAATGAGAAATTCGGTGGCTGAAGGCAAAACAGTATCCAATGAAGTTATTGCTTTGACAGTTAAAGGTCCATTTTCACTTGCTTACGACAGGTTGGATCTCACAGAAACTGGAGCACCAATAGTTTTAATCAAATTTTTTGTCATTTTCATGCGTTTTATGCTGTGTAACAGCAGTACAAAATGCATATTGTCACGGGCTTGTCTGTATGTGTTTGTGTGTATGTGTGTGTCCGCAGCGACTTGTCCGCAACTTTCAACTCGGGAACCACAAAAGCTAGGAAGCT